CCATAAGATCATAGTCAGAGCTTTCGTAATTGTGCAGGATTACATTGAAATCCCCCCCCCCAAAATCCAGGGAAGGTTGCTGAAATTTGATTCAATATGCTTGAGATCATTCCATAGCTGTCTTCTATAAATTCCATTATTACCACCATAAATTACAGTAATAATGAAAGGATCTTTAGTCACTCCTTTAATAGTAATGCTTTGAGCAGAAACATAGCACGAAGAGTGATCAATTTCTTTTCTCCACAATAACCAAAGTCTACCATTCTCAGCAAAATCATAATTGGTAATGTAATTCCAATTTTCAAATGAAGTAGCAAGAATATTTACATATTTATCCACCTTCACTCGAGTTTCCATCAAACACAAAATTGAAACATTATTTTTAACAACTCTTTTAAGGACGCTGCCTTGTTTAAAAGGATTGTTTAACCCTCTTACGTTCCAGAATGCAATAATCATTTCCCTTGTGACGAGGAGCCCATTTCTCCTCCCTTACTAGAAGTTACAGAAACCTTGTGCTTGTCCAAATGAGACTTTTTCTTTAATTTGAGGTCTTTTATCAGCTCGGCAACCCCAAAAGCAGCAGCTCGAGGTGTTTTAGTACGATTTTCAGAGGGAAGCTGAGCTTCATCAATCGAACTTAATAACTCAAATATGTTGGATGATCCTGCTAAACCTTTGTTTGCTGCAGATGGCCTACCCCTACCCCTCTTAACCGGTGGAATAGAAGAGGAATTGGACTTAGAAACAACATCTTTTAATTCAGGAGCATTTCCAGGATCAATGATAGTGCAGGGAGAGTCGGTTGATAGATTATGGTTAGTAGAAACAGCCAAGTTACTAGCTTGATTGTATAAATCATAGCCTAAAATTGGTCCTCCATCCTTATCTTTACTGGGATTAGCAGAAGAATAATCATGTTCAGTAGCTGATAAGTTTTGTACATTATCCACACTATTAACTTCTGGAACAAGAGAGGAAGAATTTGCAGTATCCTTTTTCCTCTAGATATGTGAAACAACTTGCGAATAACTAGGGGATTGTTTACAACCTTTTGAGCTGTGCCCGAACACATTACATATCTTACAACTATAAGGAATCCACGGCACTTCAACCCCAATAGAAGCAGTTTGGCCATTATTCAAGATTACATCAATATACCTAGGAATAAAATCATTAACCCTAATCTCTATGCATACTTTAGCGAATTACAGCCTAGATTTGGATGCTGTTACAGTATCCATAGAAAGAGGAAAGCCAATTGCACTAGCAATATAGCTCAGACCTTGATTCAAGAACAATTCAAGAGGTACATTATATAAATGTACCCATAAAGGAATTCTAGAAAGATCAGAATCAAGCTTAGTCATGTATGGCTCCCAAATCCTAAGTAATAAGGGTTTATTATAAATATGCCAAGGTCCATTCTCCATAACCCAATCTCTAGCTTTCTCGGAATTAAAGGTGAAGAGATACAGATTGTTACCTGCGTAACTCGTCTGCACCGAATCACCCTGTGCGGGATTAATTCATAGCTTTTGAACAATCTGCTGCAATGCTGCAAATTTTGGTGTTTGTCCAAGGAAATGCCCGACAAGGGAGAGCCTCCATTCAGCAATTCCATCTTCAAAGACTTCAGGAGGAGGATGAACAGTCGGCGTTCCATCGCGAAAATTAGGAGGGAAATAACGAAGTTGGTTTCCATCAGAACAAGAAAAAAGTTTTCGCCAGTCCATCAGGAACCCTAGAAACCTTAGATCACTGATGAGGGATGAAAAGATGAGGACGAACGGTGAAGGAAAGATCGAATCTCCGAGAATGCAGTTGCAGAACTTCAGTTTCCATTAGACCCGCTAATGTACGCCGAGAGAGAAATGCAAACGTGCGCCATTATGTTTGATTGTTAAGTAAGTATTTTTTTTTTGATTCAGTCATTTATAGCATAGCATTAGCTGTAAAAAACTAAACCCCAGAAAGTTAAATCAACGCTTACCATTGTTTTGAAACAGAAAATCCCATTTTCTTTCATTTTCCAGCAAAAACGTAGCAAAATTTCAAAAAATCCAAAAACTGTATGAATTAATGCCTACCAGGAAAACAAAAGCATCGAAGAAATTGAAAGGGAAAGGGAAACTCACGGGTCGCGGGTTAAATGGTATGAGCCACGGGTCTTAGAATTCAATATCTTTTATGATTACGGGTTTTTTAAACTGTTCCATTTAAGCCCGTACCGTCAAAACTCGCGGGCTAAACGGGCGGGTAGCCCGTATATCCAGCTCTAATGCCGTTGTTCACTCCTCGCCATTTGTCTTCACCAACGACCTTCTTCAACCCCAAAACTTTATTTTTTTACATACAAATTATTGACATATTTTGTAAAATAATACCTTAGAATAAATAATGATTTTAACCAGTTAAATAGTAATTTTGTTTTGAAACTGTATTAAATCATCTCAAGACGGAGTTAATGAGAAAGACAAATAATTTAATTTATATCAAAAAAGTTGAATATATGAATTCACAATCTGTATTTAAATAAGTAACGTGAATTTGAATAATGTATCATAAAGATGTTTATTTGATTCAATATGAACCAAGCTTGTCGGGTTGAGTATGTAGAACAAATAAGCTGCTAGATCTAATTTTTTTATGATTGGGTATTACCGTCTACATAGGTCGATTACGAAACCCTTCAATTTTCTCCATTTATAAACTTTTAAGATTTAAATTTCTAATTTTGTTTAAATAAATTAATATTTTATCTCATTAAACTAATTAATTGTTAGTTTCTCGATCTAGTTTTACGTGTAACACATAATTATAGTGATAACAGTAACAAGAAAGGTGGCTAAGATGGCTGGGAGGCGAAGCGTCAGGAGGCATTTTGTTTCGTTTGGAGGTGAGGGGCAGCGAAAAAATGGCTGGGAGTCGGCAAGGTCTATCGTCGGCGCATCGGGTTTGCTGTTTTCGTCAACAATGTAAGCAAAAGGGTCCATCATTCTACGCTGAGGAATCTTTTCAACGTCTATGGAGAAGTTTTGGATGTGTTAAAAGGGTACTAAGAGTGTTCGAATTAGCTTCGGGGCTTAGTCCGAATATGCGTAAAGCGCGAATATTTGGCGTGAATATGGATGATTGCTGCATAGAGAGGTAGGCAGAAATTATTAACTGTAAGTGGGGATCTCTTCCTACTTCTTATTTGGGTCTTCCTCTGGGCCACGCTAGAAATTCGATCGAGATTTGGAAACCGGTGTTGGATAAATTTTATGCTAGGTTGGAAAGTTGGAAAGATAAACTTCTCTCTTTCGGTGGTCGGATTACCTTGATAAACTTCTCTCTAACGAAACTCAATAGGCAGAAAGAAAAAAACGTCACCTTTACATGATTAAAAATTGGAAAAAAATGTTTAAAAGGATCTTACCATTCGACCTCGTTTTGCCGAGATAAAGAACCCATGGGAAATGTTTATTTTCTTCGGGAGAATGAAAGAAGAGGAGAAAGCCAAATTGAATTTTTGTATACTTACACTGAAATTAGCGAGTTTAAAGGGTTTATAGAGTGGCAAAATAGTATAAAAATTAAATATATTGTTTGTTAATGGAAATCATGTAGTAAGGGTACGACGTTCATGAAAATCTCATATGCATTAATTTTCTGCTGCCTGAGCTCTTCGTTGTTTTGCTGTTTTGGTGTTGCAGATGGTTAGCGATGAGTTGTGTTTCTGGTCTGCTGTGTTGATTAGTTGGTTGGCAGCGCTGGACTTTAGCTGAAGAAGGGCATTATTTGCTTGTTCTGCCATTCCTGTGGGCTTGGTGCTGTTTCGGAGAATTGTCCTAGGCGACTCGTGTGGATTGCTCATGTTGTTTCCGGTGTGGTTTTTGCTGTTTAAATTGTGCCATTAGTCGGTTTTATGGGGGTTGTATCGTTAGTTTATCTTGTGGTTTTGTGGTTCATGCTATTTATACTGAGATGTAACGTTCGATTACCATTGTTAGTGTATTGTCATCGTTTCGGTGTATTATTTTTCCTCCAATTAGGTGTAGGGATAGTTTTTAACGAAACTGAGGTGTAGGGATAGTTTTTAGTGTTTTGTTTTGTATGATTTTCCTTATCTATACAAAACATCCGTTTAAAAAATATATATAGTGATAATTTTAACTATTTTCCATTGCAGTTGACGGTAGAAGCTAATTTTTCACCAGAAAAATGAGAAGGTTGAGGATAAAGTCAATATATAAAACAATGGATTAAGAATCTTATGAAAGAATAAGAAAATAAACAAAGGGATAAAAATTAAATTAATTTGGATATAACATATTTCAAATCCCTCACACATGTCTATCATTATCATCTAACTATTTTATTCAATAAAAATTAAACACAGCAAATATTTGACATGATACGATTATATAATAATATAATTTCAATATATATTAATGATGTAAATATATAAATATTTTTAAATTTATACGATAATATGTTAAATATTTTTTAAGTTTAATTGATAAATAGGGGTAATAAATTTTTTATCCCATAAATTTTAACTTGATTTGGTTTATTTAGAATTGAAATATTGATATAATTTTTTTTATTAATATAGAGTGTTTACAAGTAGTAATATTTATTATAAAAACTCTCAATTATTTAACAATGAATATTCAAATATCTTAAAGTTGTTAGTGTTAAAACCTTTAAAATAACAATTATTTTTTTAACTACTAAAGTAACTTTGTTCTTGTAAATCATAAATATATTAAAGGATGGGATATTTATTAAGATTTTAAAAGCGATTTAAAATCATATTATAATTTTGACTATAACAAATCAATATTTAACCGAAAAGATAAAAAATGCATATGGCCTCACGCCGTCACTCGTTACCATCCATACTAATAAATCTGGACCCGAAGCAGCTCAAGCCCTTCCCCAACTCCTTTATAAACGAAGCTTCTTCCTCTTTTCTTAGCTCACAAGTACCTCTCTTTCCCTACTAAGCCAAAAGCCTGAAAAGAAAACTCTTTGCAAACCCTTAAAACTCACCCATTTGGAGCAATGGCAAAAGGCAGCAACAAGCTAACGAAGCTCTTGTCAGTTTTAAAGAACCTTAACTCATTCAACAACAAGCAAAGCCGCTCCCCGGCGCCGAAAGCCGCGGTGGCAGCTTCCAGCATCATCTACAACAACGAAGAATCATCCGCCAATCTCCACCCTGTCTATGTAGGGAAATCCCGGAGACGGTACCTCATTAGCTCCAACATTATCGACAACCTTCTGTTCCGCGAACTCATGGAACGTTCGTCGGGCGAGAACGACAGCGCCGTCATCAACGTTTCGTGCGAGGTCGTCTTGTTCGAACACTTGCTTTGGATGCTCGAAAATGCTGACCCTCAACCGGAGTCTTTGGAAGAGCTCGTCGAGTTTTACGCTTGTTGATTGTTTCGTCTTGATCGTAAGTTGTACATTAATCATATAGTAATGATACGGTTATAGCGCGATGTTAGAAAGAAACGTCAGATAGTTTCAACGGTGAGGATTTAGCCGAGTTCTCACCGACATCCGCCTTATCTGCAGCCGGGTGGTGGTGGCCGGTGGGTTCACATTTGTGCATCATTGTCATTTAATATCTGAAAAAGCTGATTAGTCATGGAATTGAATTATAATATTCACTATTTATATATTAAAAATGTATGGTTCAAATTACCAATGATTAGTTTGTTAGAGATGCTCTTTTTTCTTTATTATTTTATTTTACCAATCCAAATATAGATATATAAAACTTTTAGAATATATGATAAAATACATAAATGATTCCCCGATTACAGGGTGCTGCTCTGTTAAGTCCATTAATTATTAAAAGTTACAAAATGATCTTTCGATTATAGGCCATTGATTTGTTGAATCTCTCGACTATTAAAAGTTATAAAATGGTTACCCGACTATTCATATGTTTCAAAAGAATACTCTATATTCGAAGGAACATTTTGTAACTTTTAATAATCGAGACTTAACAAAACAACGCATTATAATTAGGAAATCATTTGTGTATTTTATCCCAATATATAATATTTTAATCATCGAATGACTCAACAAAACAACGTTTTATAGTTGAAGAATCAATTTTGTAACTTTTAATAATCAGAACTTAACAAAATAATATCTTATAATCAAGGGACTACTTGCGCACTTTATCCTAGAATATAATATTTTTTTAAAGATAGAATATTTTTTTGAATAATTTATACTTTAAGGGAGGGAAAGAAAAATTTTATTCCTAATGAATATTAAATTCATAACTTAAAGAAGATAATAAATGTCAACTGAAAATATTTTTATCATTTATTTTATAAATTATTGACCACATAACGTAATATTTAAATAAACTATACCGTATAAAAGTGTATATATATATTTGAGAGCGGTGGGGTGAAGATTTTGGCAAGTGGAAGACACGAAAATTTTGTTCCCTAACGCGCATTAGCATCTCCGACGCGTTTGCCAAGTTGTCATGACCAGTTGATGGATGAAATCATAAAAATAAAATGTTTAAATCGTTTTTTTATTAAAAAAAATTGATGTTAATGTTTTCTATATCTGTGTTTAAGTTTGAATTTAAATTAATACCTCAATAACTCAAATAATTTTATTATTAATTATTTCTCAAAACTAAAACTCGAATAGTTTACAAAGAAATATTTAATCTCTAACGATTTATTTAGACCAATCTTTCATTATCAGTGATTTTTAATTTTATGATAATCACAATATTAATACTTTATTAAAAAAGGTATGTTTATTGGAAATTCATTCGATAGGATGATTAAAATAAAAGAATAAAATATTAATGTAATAAAATTTATTCGTATTTATTTTTTATTTGAATGTGTTTTTAATATTTTTCCTTATATGATCTCTGTATGATCTTAGGTGACTAGTTTCCTGTATCAATTATTGTAGGAGAATATGTTAATGATATATTAATTTGTGATTATGATGATAAACATTTAGTGTAATTTTAAATTTCTTTTAACAAAATTAATTGTTTTATTCTAAAAAAAGTAAAAGAATAGGAGAAATTGGCGGTGGGATTATTAACAAATTGTCAATGTTTTAATGTTTCATAAGGACCGTTTTAGAATATAAAATCGATTAAAAAATCAAAATGCGAATGTATAGACTTTTAGTAGTTATCCACAAAAAATTGGAAAACAATTAAAATCAGATGAATGTTTAGAGTCAATTGTAATCCTTTTCGCTAACAAAGTTCATGACACCTAATTAAAGTGGTGATTGTTTGTCTGATATTTACATTGTCAACTTTCCAAATTTTAGGAAAGATGTATTATTTAAAATTTTAAGATTATTTTTCACATTATCATTTTTATATAAAAAATCATTTATCATTTTCATGAAAATTAAAAATTATATTAACGTTCAACTAAAATTTATGTAAACATGTATAATTTACAACCACTTAAATATCCTATTAATCGTTGAGAAGTAATGATACTTTTATAAAATAAATCGTTAATATTACAAAAAAAATTAATAAAAACAAAATAGAATTAGATATTCCATGGATAAATCATTATCTTATAAGTATAATTGTCATGATTTGTATAATCTTAAAAATGAATGTTGTCTTTTGAAAATCGAGATTATAAAAAAATTATATATAGACACAAAATCTGAAGTCAAAATTAACTGTGAGAAGTAGTAAAATACCTCACTATTTATAATGTAAGATAAGGAGCTAAAAATTATAGAAAAACATCTCATCGATTTTGATTGATATAAAATATTAATATTATATTATTTTTCAAGTTTGAACTTTTTTTAAAATGGTCTAGAATGTTTATAATGTATTTTTTGTTTTGAATTTTTCTCAATAATTAACAATGTATTATTTTGTAATAAACATAATTGTTTAAATCTAAGACTTTTAAAAAGATAACACTCTCTTTGATCACTAATAATTTCTTTTTAAATTATTTCCGTCTATTAACTTTTTACTAAATAAGTTACATGATTTGATTTATAAAGCATATATTACATGTACTATCCAATTTTAATTATTTTTAAAGAATATATATTTAATACAATTTTGAACATAAATTTGATGGTGTAAATAACTTCAAAAGGAGCTAAATATATCAATATTTAAAGTTTATTTAATTATATAAGTGAACTTAAAATTATTTGCTTTTTATTCATCAATTTCACATTGACTTGGATACGTAAATATATGTCGAGTAAAATACCTGCATACGATATGTTTTTTCTTTCGTCAAGATATTAACCCTGGGAGGTGTAGCACTTGCAAAAAGAAAGGAAACAAAATTAAAATAAGAGAGAATGACGAAAATGCCATTGGAAGAAGAGGAAAAAGACAAAGCCCGGTAGCCAAGTTCCATAGAGAGGAGGTCCGGTGTTTGCGGCTTTTTAGGGAAAAAGATGTGCCAAACGCTCCCCCTCGGTGTGCGTAACAAATGTTGCAAGTGTAGGGTATACACTTTTCGAACTATGCCACTCCATCTGTCAAGTCAGCTGTAGGCTACATGGCATCCGTATCAGAAAAATCGAGAAAAGGCCACCCACGTGGATGTCGGATTTTGGGGTTTCTTTGGATTTTGAATGCTCCATTAATCCCCATGTTACTCGGGGAATTTTTGTCCCCTGTTTATTTATTTTTAGATGAAAAGGGTACGTGAGCCATCGTAATTTTTTAAATAATAATAATAATAATAATGTTAACTCATATTTTTTTACACATAATGTGTGAGCCTTAAATTTTAAAAAAAATAAATATAATATAGTTACTTGACCAATGATTTTTATCATTGACTGTTACGGTGCTGACGTGATATTTCATTATATTAACGTAACAGTCCATAGTGATTGGTGATATGGTTGATGATATGATAAATTGATAAAATTGGATTTTCTTTGTCGAGTTCGGGAGTCAAATTGAATTTTTTTAGTTAAAAGAATTATTTGATTTTCTTAAAAAAAATTATTTAAATTTTTAAATTTTAAATTTAACTATATAAATATAGAAAAAATTAAAATATAAAAATATATATATATATATATATATATATATATATATATATATATATATATATATATATATATATATATATATATATATATATTGATCGTAGTAATTGAAAATGTTATTGTTAAATGATTCATTTAATTTAGAGATGAATTCTAATATGAATTTTATTTTATTTAGTAATATAATTATATTATTATATTTATACATGTCAATTTTAATATACGTTTTATTTTATTTTTATTTTATAGGGACGAATTTGTTATTCCTTGAAAAATAATAAAAAAGGATAATAAAAAAATCTCAAACACGTGGAGTTCATATCCACATTAACTTCATAGAGTTGTATCTAACAGTAATTGGCCACGTAAATATTTAAAATAAAGTAGATAAGGATAATAAAATTTGCAGCCGGCTTTCAGTTAATTTTTTTTATAAGACTTCACAATTCTTATTTAATTAAATTTTAAACAAAATTAGTGAAATCAAATTCGAAATATATTTAGAGTTTAAGATAATTAGTGGTAAATATATAAAATAAAATTTATACATGATAGACGAGTTCATATTTATATAAATAAAAGTCAGGTTGAATTTGAGATAAAAAATAATATATTTTTAATTTGTCATCAATTTAATTTTTGTTTTTGATATTTATTTATTTTTAACATTTTTGTATTCTAAGTTTAAAATATTTTTATTTTTTCTAAAAAAATCAAATAAGCCATTAATTCAAAAAAAATCAACCTGACCCTCAAACTCTACAAAAAAAAAAACCCCATTTAACACATCTGCCACATCAACAGCCACCATAGATCACCACGTCAATATTGTAACAGTCAACGGTGAAAATCGTTGGTCAAAGGGTCACATTGGTTGTTTTCTAAGTTTGAAGGTCACATTGAGTGTGAAATAAATATGAGGGCCTCACATACCCTTTTGCCTTATTTTTAACTTCATTTCAACTTCAATTTTTTTGGTAAAGTAGATAAATGGTCTCCTGACTATAAGATAGTGTTCTATTGAGTCTCTCGACTATTGAAAGTTACAAAATGATCATACGACTATAGGGCATTGCTCTGTTGAGTCCCTCGACTATTAAAAGTTACAAAATGGTCACTCGAATATTCATATGTTCCAAACTCATCTTTTTCGTTAAAAAATTAACGGACATCTGAGCTAGAAATTAATATGCTAAGAGGGATATGATAAAATCTCATCCAAAAACAGTTTGAATTGTATAGTCGTTTGTGAATTTGGGATCAAATTTTATCATATCTCAATCAGCATGTTAACGTCCAACTTAGATGACAATCAATTTTTTAATGAAAAATGGCGCGTTTAAAACATATGAATAGTCGAGCAACCATTTTATAACTTTTAATAGTCATGGGACTTAACAAAGCAACGTCCCATAGTTGGAGGATCATTTTGCAACTTTCAATAA